CTTGATGTGAGCATCATTTGTTCGATTACCAATAGTAAGTGGGTTAGCCCCATGCAAGTAGTACCTAAGAAATCTGGAGTTACGATGGTAGAAAATGATGAGAATGAGCTCATACCGACAAGGGTGATTAACGGATGGAAAGTTTGCATTGACTACTAGAAGCTAAACCTTTACACAAGAAAATACCATTTCTCGACCAGGTGTTGGAAAGAGTAGCGGGGCACCTATTCTATTACTTTTTAGATGGATACTCCGGCTACAATCAGATAGAAATTACATTGGAAGATCAAGGGAAAACCACCTTCACGTGTCCCTATGGTACCTTCGCTTACCGCTGGATGTTGTTTGGACTATGAAATGCTTCGAGGACTTTTCAACGCTGCATAATGGGGATTTTCAATGACATGGTGAAAAAGATAGTGGAGGTCTTCATGGACGAATTTTTAGTGTTTGGGGATTCGTTCAAGGGATGTTTGGGAAACTTGGAGAAAGTTCTAACAAGATATGAGGAGAAGAATCTAGTCTTGAATTGGGAAAAGTGTCACTTTATGGTGACGGAGGAAATTATGCTTGGCCATATAGTATCAACAAGGGGTATTAAAGTCGACAAATCCAAGGTGGAGGTCATCTCCAACCTCCTTACACCAAGAGCCATCAAGGGCATCTGATTTTTTTTGGGCCATGCCGAGTTTATCGTCGATTCATAAAAAATTTCAGTGTATTGGCCCGACCCTTGACCAATTTACTATCTAAGGAGGTCCCATTCGAGTGGTTGGATGATTGTGAGGCATCCTTTAAAAACTTAAAAGTATACTAGTCACACCTTCGATCATGTGACCACCCAGGTGGGATCTACCTTTTGAGCTGATGTGCGATGCGAGTGATTACGCAGTTGGAGTAGTGCTCGATCAAAGGGAGGAAAATAAACCGCATGTGATATGCTACGCTAGCAAAATGCTCAATGAGGCTCAAATGAATTACACTACCACAGAAAAAGAGCTACTAGTTGTAGTATTTGCTTTAGATAAATTTCGTTCTTACATCACAGGTTCACCTATTGTTGTCTTTACTGTTCACTCTGCTTTGAAGTATTTGTTGTCTAAGCAGGATACTAAACCAAGACTCATTAGGTGGATACTCCTCCTACAAGAATTCAACTTGACGATCAAGGACAAGAAAGGAGTTGAGAACATGGTGGCAGATCATTTATCCCAGCTTGTGGTGCAAGAGACTGATGAGCACCTTTCTATCCCTGACTTTTTCCCTGATGAACAATTGCTTTCAATTCATTCTGTGTCCTTGGTATGTTGATACATGTAACTATCTTATAAAAGGACAAATACCACCGCATTAGAGCCCAGAAGATCGAAGACAATGTATGACATATGTGAGGTACTTTTACTTTGACAACCGGTACCTGTTCAAGTACTACCCTGATCAAGTCATGAGGAGATGCGTACCAGAAAATGAATAGCGGGAAATCCATTCATTCTGTCATTCACAAGCATTTAGTGGTCACTTCTCAGCAAAAAAACTTCGGCAAAATTCTTCAATGAGGTTTTTACTGGCCCTCACTTAACAAAGACTGTGTTTTATTTTTTAAAGAATGCTATAGATGCCAACATTTGGGTAATGTGACCCGAAGAAATATGATGCCCTTCTCCCTTGTACTCGTGATAGAAATATTTGACTGTTGGGGCATCGACTTCATGGGTCCATTCCCTATGTCATTAGATTACCTATACATTCTCTTGGTAGTGGACTATTTCTCCAAATGGATGGAGGCTATCCAGACCAAGACTAACAACCACCGGGTCGTGGTTAAGTTTCTCAAAGAGAATATTTGTTTGAGGTTTGGGATGCCTCGTGCAATGATAAGTGATGGTGGATCACACTCTGCAATAGGTCATTTGCATTGTTAATGTCTAAATATGGCGTCACTCACAAAGTATCCACCGCTTACCACCCACAAACCAATGGCCAAGTCGAGTTGGCCAATAGGGAGATCAAGAACATTTTAAAAAAAATGGTGAACCCCAACAGGAAAGATTGGTCAAATAGACTGACTGATGCCCCATGGGCTTATCATACTGCCTATAAGACTGTTTTGAGCATGTTTCCCTATTGGCTTGTCTACAAAAAGGCTTGCCATCTTCCGGTCGAAATGGAACACAAGGCCTATTGGTCCATCAAAACCCTGAACTTCAATTTAAGAATGGCTGGAGAATGAAGGAAGTTAGAGCTGAATTAGTTGGAAGATATTAGGAGGGATGCGTATGAAAGCTCCAAAATTTCTAAAGAACGAGCTAAAAGTTTTCATGACAAATCTATTGAGAGAAAGTCCTTTGAGCCCGGGCAGAAAGTACTTTTATATAACTCCTGTTTCTCCATTTTCCAAGGAAAACTTTGATCCCATTGGGATGACCTCTATCTTGTCAAGGTGGCCTACCCCAACGGATTTGTGGATGTCTCCAACCCCAAAAATGGTCATACATTCAAGGTCAATGGCCAAAGACTTAAGCCATTTTTTGGGGGGCTCTGAAGAACAAGTGGTAGAGGAGGATTTAATTGACCTGGTGTATCTGGATTTGGTGGAGGAGTAGCAAGTGTTTATCCTTTCTCGTGTACAGTTGCTATTATTTACTTATGTTATTTTTATTTAATGTCACTTACTTTATTTGGTTGTATAGTATTATTTTTCTTAGTTTCAGATATTGGTGCTTTTGTCGAAGCTCAATTGCGAGGTGTTCTCTAACCCTACTCAATTTTTTTTTATTGTCTTTCATTGCATATTTTATCTTTTGGTTGCCTTGAGGACACTGTATCAATCTAGTTGGGGGGGGAGTGGTGCACCACTTGCATAATACACCAAGGTTGTGGAAAATTTTTGTGATACAGATTTTTGCATTAGGGTATTTAGGTGAAATTTTTTGAAAATTTTTGATGAAAAATATCTAAATGTTGATTTGTATTCCCTTGTTAAGAGTGTTGGGTTGGATGACATATTGATCTTTGTTGTGAACTTTGACCAAATGAGCATACTGTGGAAATTGATCTTATACGTAAGTATCACATATGTATTAATTTTTGAACTCAACCATATGTGACTTTTGAATGTGTAATTTCAGCAAATTATGGATTGGATTCATGTTTTAGGCTTGACATAAGTAGTGGAGATGAGTAAGGACCCATGAGAGTTTTAGTGCCAACCTTTTTGGGAGAAAACTTACATTTACTCAAAGAACAATTTTTCAATGTCAAATTTGTTCAATAGTCTCATTACACTTGTTTTGTTTAGGTGTATCTAGATAGTAGACTGACTTGCCTCAACTGTACAATGCCATCCCATGCGTACCTGGAAGTGATTTTAGGCCATCTTTGAAATACTTTGAGCCTTAACCTTTTTTCTTGTGAAAAGTTTATCCCTAGTGTCGTGATTGAAAATTCCTTTCTATGCCACACATTTGACCAAGCCGATGAAAATAAGAAATATCTACCGTACACTGGTTGTTCCTAAAGCTGAAAATGAGTGATTGCAAAAGTAAAGGAAGTGTGGTTAGGAAATTCAAGCAAGAGATGATTGTTTTGGAAACTCAAAGAGTTGAAAAAAAGAGAAGAAAAAAAGGGAGAATGAAAATCCAAGAAAAATGTGATGAAAGGATGAATGAAGTAAAGAATGACAAAAGAAAAGGACAATGTTAAGGGAAATAAAGAAAAGAAAAAAAAAGTGTGGTGATGGTGTTAGCCTAGAAATCCCATAAAAGGGAGATCTTTTTGCAATAAAGATCATTCACTTAGAACAACCCTCTTTGTCACCCTATATCCTTCATTTCACTTATCTCATTACCACCCCAAGGCTTCATTACAACCCTTGAAAGTCCTAAATCATCTAGAGAAGCATGGGAGATGCATACTTTTAAAGAACAAGAAAAGTTGATTTTGCTATCTAGTGCCCTAGCATTCCTTTCATGAGATTATGTCAAGGTTGTTTTATTTTTCATATATGAACTTCATTTTTGGATTACATGTGAGTACACTTTGTTTTGAACACAAGATTCTATCTCACATGTACACATGTAGTGCATACCAGGAGAACTAGAGTGCATTTCATTGTTTAAGAGTGACCTCTAGTGAGTTTTGCATTGAAACTAAATTTGGCAGGCTATTCGAATGTGAATTCTGTTGCATAAATGCTCAAATTACTTGTTTAATTCACACACACACAAGTTGAACATGAATTTGTAGGTGCATACTTTAACTAGCATTTGAGACTATGATCTTGCTCATGTGTGCTTAGTTCATTTATCTGAGAAATGTATTAAATAGTTCCACGCTTGCAAAATGGAGGAATATTGCTCAAGTTTTTGATATCTTAAATGAATGAGGAATGCCCATGTTGTTAATTATGTGATGTGCATTTTGGGTCTTCATTTTGATAGTTAAGGATAGAAATCCATGCCTTGTACGTTGAATGCTTCAAAAGTTTAAATCACTTTGCAAATTCAATAATAAATTGGGCATGATGGTTCAGATTATGGTTTACAAGTGTAGTACATTTTTAGGAAAGAGTAGAGGTCATAAATAATGTGGTCGAATGTTTAGGAAGGTCTTGAGTGGAAGGTAGTGGAGATGTGTTGCTCAGCAGGAGTATTTTGGAAAACAAGGCAAAGAGTACTGGTACTAAGTACCGGTACGATTTTAACTCTGGAGTTCGGGGTGCCGGTACTGAGTACTGGTACAGTCTGATCAAATAAAAACAAATTAGGGCTTTTAAATTTAATTTCTTCAGGGAACCTTTCACTTTCCCCCTCTAATCATAGATCCTAGGCCTCCTTCTCTCACTCGAAAACCTCCCAAGCCTCCAAATCCCCCCTTTTCTCTTTCAATTCCAAATTCCTCCTTTCTTTGAGCTTTGATTTTGTGCAATCCACCCCTGTGAAAACCTAAGTGCTAAATTCCCATAAGCTTTATTCATCCCTATTTTCTCCAATCTCTCCAAGAAACTTTACATGGCTCGTCACTTAGATGTTGATCTTGAGGCCATAGACCCGATTGAGGGTCTTTTCTTCATCCTCTTTGCATTTCTTTGGATGGGGGCACTGTTGCTTTGCATGGCCCGAACTAAACGACCTAGACCCAATTATTCTCCACCCGAGGACCCAAATGTGCAAAGGAAGAAGGCCAGGAAAGAGGCACGACTCCAATGGATTCAAGGGAAGAGTGTGACTTGTAAGCGGCACCTTGATCACCTTTCACTGACCCCAAGGCATGAGGTTGTGAAGATCATTGAGGGACATAGCATGAGATTTTGGTTTAGGCCCCGTTGATGGGTATAATTTGTCACTGTGTAGAGAATTCTACCAAACGCTTACGGTGGCTAAGGTGAACAATGTGGAAGTTTTGAGAGCAAATGTGCGGGGTAAAATGTTCGAGGTAACCCCCAATGTCATTGCCACTCTTCTTGGAGAATATAAGAGACCGCCAAGACTAAAGACGAGTTCGTGGCTCTAATGTATGAGGATCCCACTCAATTCAAGGGAATTTTTCAAAGTGGAGGGTTAAAGCATGTGTACAGGTTTCTGAATAAACTTCTCTATTACAATTTACTCCCGAAGGCTGCTGAAAAGAAGCTAAATATGGAAAAGCTAACCCTTTTTGATGCTGTCGTGTCAGGTAAAACAATAGACTTTGCACTCTTCATATGGGAAGTAATGAAAGAATTTGCTGAGACAGTGAAGCTGATAACCAATTTTCCATATGGGAATTTGGTAACCCAGATGTGCAAGCACTTCAAAGTAAAGGCCAATGCATTTTGACAAGCTCACTCCTCCCGAGACTAGGGCTATTAGCAAAGTCAGTAGTAAGAAGAGAAAAGAAATGAGTACGGGAGAGCAAGCTAAGAAGCTGGATTCTAATGCTGAGACTCCCAGACCATCCTCATCCACTGGGCCATCCACAGCTGCACCAGCACGCTCAGTCCCCCAGCGTCTGGATGCACTCGAAGTAATAGTGCATGGGATCGAGGCATCAATGCAGGGGATGACGAACATGCTGAGAGAGATGTTCATGCATACCTTCCTAGGGAGGCCCATCCCAGAAGGACCCACTCCATAAGATACTGCCCCTTTTGCATCTGCCCCCTCTGCCTCCACAGCAGTTGAGGCTAATGATGGGGATGATGGAGAGTATGATGACGATGAAGATGTTGAGGTGTCTAGGGAAGATGAAGGGTCTGAGGAAGATGTGGCTAATGATGGGGTCGTAGGCCATTTTGGTTTCTTTTTGATGTCCTACTCCATGTACTCCAACTTTATAACATATTAATGGAATACCACAGTTCCTGTTCAATCTTGTCCATGCTTATTTTGTTAATTACTTTATGATTTTTGCATTTTTGATTGATGGGGTAAACTATTTATTGAATTGGATTGTTGTATGTTGTTCCCGTTATCTTGTTTGGAAAATAAATTTTGCTAAGGGACTAGCAAAACTCAAGTTGGGGAGTGTGATTAGCACAAAAACATATCATATTTCATGTGCTAATCATTCCATTTTCACTTGCTTTTGGGGATCAAATGATTAGAATTGTGCTACTTGAGCTATTACAAAGATATTTAGTGATTGCAGATAAAAGATGTCAAATGAAGCTTCTTAAGACCTTCTCATATGCATTGAGGTGAATGAGGATGAAAGAGTGGCTAGAGGAAAGCTCAGGAGTTGAAGAAATCAGAAAATCAGTCAAAATGCAGAGACAGTATCGGTACTGAGTACCGGTATGGTTTGGCCTCTGCAGCAGACAGTACGGGTACGCAATACCGGTACAGTTCTGCCTCTGGAGTTCGGGGTACCGGTACACAGTATCGGTACTGTCTGCTGATTCTGCCCAAATCTCTACAACTCAAGCTCTGCCATTTTTTAGGGTCCCACCAATCACTCTCCCACTTGTCTTTGACTCCCCCATCATATTGAACAACCCTCCTACACCCTTCAATTGACTTTTGGAGCTTGGATGATAAATGAAGAGAGAGAAGAAAAATCTTACTGGGTATTCAAGCTAGCTCTGCACCACCCTGTCTAGCCCATTCCTTTTGACAGCCTATGGATGGAGATTACATCACATAGCTTGAGGAGGACTCCAGGAATGTTTTTGGCAAGGCAGGACTCCATTTTTCAGCACTTCACACATTACATGTTAACCCCACACTTTTATCTTTATACATGTATATAGGTTTACATAGCAAGTTATTATTTCTTTTAAAATGATAATATGAAAAAATTTGAGGAAATAGTAGTTAAAAGTTATTTTAGCTTGCAAATTTATGAATTGTCGTAATGGAACTTGGACCAACTTGGTTTATTGTACAAAAGTATGTTGTATAAGTTTGGGTTGGAATTGGAAAGGTTTGGAATGGATTGGAAATCAAGAAGGAAAGATTTGTAAAAAAATAGGCAAAACCTTTCGAAAGGTCGCTGAAAACCCTTCTGGAAGGTTAAAGTAAAGGCTTATCCAGTAGGATAAATCTTCCGGAAGATTGTTGGAAATGGTTGTTCAGTAGACAAAACCTTCCAGAAGGTTAATGAAAATGGTTTGACAAATAGGCAAACCTTTGGAAAGGTCGATGAACAACCTTCCGAAAGGTCTTCAAAAAATCTGAAAATTTTAAGTCACAAATAACCGGTTTTTCTTTCACTATAAATACTTAAGGACAAATCCTTTAGCCCCATTTCAACACTCAAAACCCTAAGAGACCTTAGAGACGAGTAAAGGAAGGGAAAAACACAAGATCAAAGGGGATTTCAACTTTAAGGAGATCAAAACCTAGTCTTTTCAAGAACATCAAGGTAGTGGGTTTTCTTCCATACTTGTCTATTGATGCTAAGGCTAATATATATGTATTTTTTGACTCTGAATCTTATATATTTGCTATGAAATCATCTTTTCTTAGTCTTCTTGCAATTATTATCATGTTTTACACAAGTTAGGGTTGAATACCCATGAAATCTCATTTTCTTGATATAAAACCCTAGTTTTCAAAAGAGATGGACTTTCTTCTTGATTCTTCCTTGGTTATTGATATTGATGATGATCTCTTGCATTTTCTTCAATTTTTCTATTGAAACACTACATGTGAAATTGGGAATTTATGGAATTGTTGTTATATGAGAAAATTGTTGGTATTGTATCTCTTGTGTGGTTGTTGGATAAACATGGGCTATTACTGACCAGGTATCTTGGAGTGTGTAGACGCCTTCTTATTCCATGTGGGTTAGAACTTTTCCTACCACTCGTAATGTGGTTAGTGTCTTGCGAGGACTAAAGCATTATCGCTTATGGGTTATCGTGGAAAAAAGGGTTAGTATACTACTCTTTGGTTGGATACGTCACTGTCATGGCGTTGACATATGTCCTTCCTAAAGGTTGGATATCCTTGCGAGGATTTGTGTGGATTGTACATGGGCCATGATATTTTCGATGGTCCATGCGAGGTATTACTTCATACTAGAGATACGAATACAGTGGTGGGTTATTGTTCGTTGTACCATAACTAGTTTCTACAAGAATTTTTGGAAGTATGGGATTCCGCAAGAACTTAGTTTAGATTGGATTATTATATGTTGGTTTCACGTATGCATTAAATTACTGTTGTTGCTTAAACTGGAGATCTGCTTAAATGTCCCTATTTTATTTCAATATCCATATATGCTATTTATGAAAGGTGACCGACTGTTTTTATATGTTTTTCTAAACCTTGTTTGAGTTTGGAAGGAATGTCGCTACAGAACTTAATGCTCACCCCCTGCAAACTACATTTTTCAGATTATGTATTGGAGGAGGATTTGGGAATTGAGGAACTGGCACACTGGGAGATTCTCGTAGACGGGCATGTTGATCCCGAGATGGATGCTTAGAAATACATTACTTTTTATTCTAGACTACGAAATTTACTTTGGAAATATTGTAAAGTCTAGACTCTTTTGTAATTCCGGTGCAAGTTTATGTTTAATTCTTTTGGGATGTAATTATTGTACTTTTGGGATCATATTCTTTTGGGGATATATTCGTCATGCTTTGGCGTATTCTTTTGGGATTGAGATTGCAAAAGATTACTTTTGATGTATGAAATTTCTTTATGGATGACTTATTTAGTTGCTCTCATGATGTGAATGGTTCTTAGTTTGTAATGCCGTCTAGTGTGGTCTTTTGGGCATTACATTACACATTAGAAGATAGAGAGAGAAAGAGTGGGGGAAAAAGAAGATGAATAGTGTAGTTAGAGAGAAAAGTTCAAATTTTTACAATCTCTTCTATACATTGTCTTCTAATTTGATGTAAGAACCTTTGAAGCTTCCTTTAATGCTTTGAATGTCATTAATGTCTAGTTGTTTTCAAGTTTAATCTTCTGTTAAAGCTTTCACCATTAATGCTTCAATGTTCTTAAATTTCCTAGCTGTAAATGGGTATTAAACGCATTCTCATTTAGTTTACATTTCTTGCATTTACTTTACCAAGCATTTCCTTTCCTTGTAATGAATTCTCACTATATTGTTGGTTCTTATTTAATCATGAGTAGCTAAATCTTTACGTTGGCTAATCCAAGGAAGACCTCCCCTTGGGTATACCACCTTAACTCATCCCCTCTCCTCCCCTCGGTGTACGGTGGTTCGGTTTGACTAGGTTAAGTGTGGACCGGAGTGTGAATCTTTGATATCCCGCAGGCATTGTCACGGGTTATGCTTGGATCCTTATTTCTGCTATGTTCATTACTTCTCACGAATCAATCGTTCACTTATGCTCCATTGGAGGAAAGTTTCGAGTTGACTCGGTATCCTCATCGGAGTGAACCCTTCAGATTGGCCGACACTTTCTTTCCAACTTATTTTCATCATAACAAATCACAACTCACAAAACCAAACTCCAACTCCAAAAGATTTTACACTTTCTTTTACCAAAATCACTTTCAAAACGATTCACATCCTTCTCCTAGGAAACGACCTTGGAATATTTCCAAGTAAAACACGACCCTCAAAAGTCTCCTTGCGCTTAGGGAGCATTTTTGTACACACACATCACATTTCACATTTCTATTTTCCTTTTTCCTTGCCCTTTCTTTTGACACCATTTCAAGGGAGTGTGACACTCCCCTTCCCTTTTGCACACACATCATACATACATTGAGGAAAGGTGTTAGGAGGTTAGGAATTTGCAATGGAAACTATCAAGCAACGAT